TGGCGCACTTGCCCATCTTGATCGTCACGAGGGCCTCGGGCTGCGGCGCGCCCCCGAACATGGTCGGGACGGCGGCCGCGGCTTCACGAAACTTCGCCTTCGCCTCTACGCGCCCCACCAGCGCGCGCTTCAGCGGTCTCCGCGACGACGAGAGGCTCGACAAGCCGCGGCTAGCCGGCGCGATCGACCGCGATTGCCACAGCGACGATGGGCGCCTTCCATCGAGCGCTTCTCGTGCTCGGTTTGGCCTCGGCGACGGAGGTCGCCAAGGTGACGAAGGGCAACTACGACGCCTTCCTCCAGCTCGCGGCGGACGAGGAGCAGTGGGTGCTGCTCGACTTCTTCGCCCCCTGGTGCGGCCACTGCAAGCGCCTCAATCCCGTGCTCGACGACTTCGTCGCGGACACGCCGGGCGTGCGCGTGGCGAAGATCGACGCGACGGCCGAGAAGGCGCTGGCGGAGGCCCACGACGTCGACGGCTACCCGACGCTCCGCTTCCGGCGGGCGGGCGCGAGCGACGCGTTTAGAGATTACAAGGGCGCGAGGGACGCGGTGGGCCTCGCCCAGCTCGATGCGCGGCTCCGGGGCCCCGCCGTGACGACCTTCGCGGGCGCGCTCGACGACGCGTTGACGAGCGTGAAGTTCCCGCCGCCGGTCTTCGTCGCCGCGGGCCGATTGCCGCCGGACGTCGAAAAGGCGTTCGCCGCCGTCGCCGCGTCGTCGTACCACATGGCGACCTTCGCGCGCCTCGAGGCGCCGGACGCCGCGCTGCCCGCCGACGCCGTCAGCGCCGTCGAGGCCGGCGAGTGGGCCCACGCGTGGGCGCCGGCCGACGACTACGAGGCGTCGCTGAAAGCCTTTTGCGCGAAGCACAACGCGCCCCTTTTCAGCGAGCTCGGGCCGTCGAACTTCCGGCGCCTGGGCAAGGCGCGCCTCGTCGTCGCCGCCATCGTCGACCCGGCCCGCGAACCCGCGGCGACGGGCTGCGCGAACGTCGCGCGCGGCGCCGCGCGGACGCGGGCGCCGGACGTCCGCGAGGCCTTCGTCTTCGGCCGGCTCGACGGCGCCAAGTGGGACGAGTACGTCGCCACCTTCGGCGTGAGCGGCGCGGACCTGCCGAAGATCCTCGTCATCGACCTCGAGGGCGACAAGTACTACGACGACTTCTCGCCGCCGACGCCGCCGGCCGACGCGCCGCCGGACGCGCGCGACGCCGCGGCGGCGGCGGCGCTCGTGGCCTACCTGCGCGAGGTCCTCGCCGGCGAGCGCGCGGCCCACCACATGGGCTGGCGCGGCTTCCCGGACCGCGCGGCGCGCTTCTGGCGGAACCACTCGACGTTCGTCACCGCGGCCCTCGGCGTCCTCGCCGGCGGGCTCTGGCTCATCAACTACATCATGGCCGACGACGAGCCCCCCGCGGCGAAGAAGCGGGACTAATGTTACCGAGCGCCGCGAGCTGCGTTCGGGGCGAGGATGTCGCCGACTCCATGAAGTTGAGTTCAACATGAAGCCTCGAGGCCTTGCCATTCGCAGCTCGCATTCGCAGCGGGCGATGCAGTGAATCCTGTCAAACGATGGACCCATATGACATTGCTTCGATGGCCCGGCATGACCCAGAGTCGCTCGCGGCGGAATTTGGGATGGACGAGGAAGAAATGAAGGCCAAAATAAGGGAAAAGATCAATAGAAAGGACACCTTCGACGAATCGAAACCTGGCTCGTCCTTGGCCAACATGATTAAAACCATGTTTCCGGCGGAGAACTTCGTGTTCCGCGACGACGACGACGTGAAGCGATGCGCGGCGTGCGGTCGCGAGGCCGCGCGGCTCGTCTGCACGCGCTGCCGCGCGGTTCGCTACTGCGACGGGGACTGCCAACGGCGGGCGTGGAAGGCGCACAAGGCGAGTTGCCCGACGCGCGACCAGCGGGTCGAGTCGATCCTGGACTCGGGCTCGCTCGCCGTCGATCGGTCCGTCGTCGAGCTGGCGCTCGACCTCTGCGGCGAGCGGCCGCACTGCGCTCGGTTCCTCGCCGCCGTCCTCAGCAAGCCGGACTTCCTCACGACCTACGACGACGAGGAGTTATGCGCGGCGCTCCGCCTGCTCTGGGGCGCGAAGCTGTCGCCGGCGGACTTCCGGCGGCTGTGCGCGGTCGACCCCGCCGTCGCCAAGCGGCTCAACGCGATGCGGGCCCAGGACGACGCGGACGACGCGGCGCTGCTGCGGCGCATAGCGCCCGTCCAGGCGTCCTGCAAGCGCATCTACGAGCTCTTGACCGTGCGCAAGCGAGGCGACCCGGAGCCGATGGGCTGCGTCCAGGTGCTCAAGCACACCGCGCCGGATCGAGTCCACAAGACGAACCGGGAGCTGCTCGACTTCGTCTACCTGCGGACCGCGCCCGAGCCCGTCGCGGGCGGACCGGCCTTCGTGTTCAAGTCGCTCAGCGCCGAGCCGGTGCGCCTGTGGAAGGCGGAGCGCGACGCGCTCCTCTACGACAAGTTCAAGTCCACGCGGCGAAAGCACGCGCCGCACCACAACATCGCCGACTTCCTCGCGCTCGTCGAGGAGCTCTGCACGCCCCCCTATGCGCCCAACATGGGCGTGCCCAAGCCCAAGCACGCGGCCGCCAACCGGGCCCTCCTCGAGGACCGGCTCCCCTTGCTCGTCAAATCCACGTTCATCGACCTCGCGCGCGCCATGGGCAACGAGGACTTTTACGGCATCCCCGACGCCGTCCTCCGCGACGATCCGGACGCGGCGATCAAGGCCATCAAGTGTCGCAACAGCATCGCGAAGGGATTCCCCCATCAGAGCGAGTTCGACGCCTGGATCGCGAAGCCGGGCGCCTGGTTGCCCAAGGACATGTGCCTGGATAGAACCGTCCGGTAAACACATCGCTAATACCCGTCCCCTGCCCAGCGCGCCCGGGCGGCCGCCGCCCCGGCCCTGGGCACAACGCGAAAATCACCCCCGGCCGCGGACTTTTAGTGAAGTTTGCGGTTGCATGATACTTCGCCCCCTCGCCCTCGCCGTAAATACATCGAGCGACAGTCGCCCTCGCGCCGCCGTCGTCCGCCGCCGCAGCCAGAGATCCACCCAGGGGAGGCTTCGTCCAGCACACCTTTCGACGCCATGGCCCCCGCGAAGAAGTCGAAGAAGAGCGTCGAGAACCTCAACTCGCGCCTGCAGCTCGTCATGAAGAGCGGCAAGGTCGCCCTCGGCTACAAGACGTCCCTCAAGACGCTCCGGTCGAACAAGTCCAAGCTCGTGCTCCTCGCCAACAACACGCCCCCGCTCCGCAAGAGCGAGGTCGAGTACTACGCCATGCTCTCCAAGTGCCAGGTCATCCACTACAACGGCTCGAACGTCGACCTCGGCACGGCGTGCGGCAAGTACTTCAAGGTCTCCATGCTCACGGTCATCGACCCGGGAGACAGCGACATCGTCCGATCCACGGAGGAGTAGGCGACGCGCGCACGGCGCGTCGCGAAGCGTCGCCCGCGCGCGGACCTCCCCGGGGCGTAAGCGAGCGTGCGGCGCGACGACCCGGGAGTTCGGGGGTCTGCGCGGAGGGGGGCTGGGATGGGGGCGAGGGGAGCGCTCCGCGCAGCCTGTGCACGTGGAACTGCAGCAAGCACGGACGCGCGGTTTTCATGGACAGTAGCCATTACACGCTCCCTCCCCGAGCGCCTACTCCTTCTTCGCGAACTTCGCGCCCAGCTTGCCGACGAAGTTGAGGAGACGGAAGCGCTTGCTCGGCTTGTAGGGCTGGCACTCCGGGATGGGCAGCGGGTTGCCCGTGCCGTAGAAGAAGGCGAACGCGCCGCCGAGGCCGCCCGTGTTGCCGACGCGGCGGTCGATGACGTAGAAGCCGATCTCCTTGACGAGGCCCTCGGCCGTGAAGTCGATGTGGAAGCACTGGGGCGGCAGCTCGAGCTTTTTGCCCGTCGCCGGCTTGCCCATGAGGGGCTCCGTGTGCGTCGCGGACGACCGCGAGTGGAACCAGACGCGGCCCTCGTCGAAGGGGTCGACGCGGAACAGGTGGTACTTGGGGTCGAGGTCCGGGAACGCGTCCTCGAGCTGGAACGTCCCCAGCGCCTCGAGGTACGCCTCCTTGCCGATCGGTCCGACGACGGCCGCGCAGAACTCGAAGTCCTCCGCGAGGCACGCGCCGCCGTCCTTCGTGCCGACGCCGATCTCCGGGCCCAGCACCTCCTTGCAGCGCGCGATGAGCGCGTCGGGCGCCAGCGGGAACGTCGACGCGGCGAGGAGCGCGTCCTCGTCCGCCTCGTAGACGCCGAGCCGCTTCATCATGGGCTCGCCCGCGGCGACGACGACGCGCGGCGCCGGCGCGACCTCCTCGACGGCGCCGACCCTGATGCCGAAGTCGGCGTAGGACACGACGCCCGAGGCGTCGCAGGCCGCGCGCCACGCCGCGGTTTTGGCAGGCCACGCGGCGGTCTTCGCCTCCGCCTTCTCGAGCGTCGCGACGCTGAGCGCGCTGGATGGCGCAGATAGGCCGGCCGGCACGAACGCGTCGGCGCCGCAGAGCGCGAGCGCGAGGATGATCTTGTGGACCATCGTGTGCAGTGCACTCTTTTGTCGCTACCGTCGAGGGCGCGGACGACGCGCGCTCGAGTGTGGGTGATGGGACTGATGTGGCGGCGCACGGCGAGGCTTCCGCAAATTCCAAATTGCAGGCAACGTGCAGTGGTCGCAGTTCGCTCACTTGTTCGCTCGGACACTTATGTACACGTCTACGAAGGGGGCTCGGGGCGGGCTATGGACAGGGCGGGGGCCGTCACGTCTCGGCGGCGGCGTCGACCCACCGCGCGCCGTCCCAGACGTGGCCCGCGGGCACCTTGCGGCGGAGCTCGGCCTCGCGCTTGCGGAACGACGGGCCGGCGAAGGGGAGGGCCACGGTCGACACCGTGCCGTCGCAGTGGCCGAGGGCGAGGACGCTCAGCGACGCGAGGGAGCCCGTCGCCAGGGCCAGCGCGCGCGTCTTCGGCAGGTCCGGCTCCGGGCGCAGCGCGACCTACGCGAAACCCAAAAAGTTGCGTCTTCCTCCCAAAAAAAGAAGGCGCCGCTCCGCGCGCGGCCCGCGTCGAGGAGCCGCCAGGTCTTGGCGCCGCGGTCCGCCCCCGGCGGCGCGTCCTTGGCCGGCGGGCCGCGGCGGAACGCGGTCGACGCCGCGTCGAAGGCGCCCGGCTCCGGCGCGAGGTAAACCGCCGCGGCGGGCTCGTCGAAGCTCGGCGCCGCGACGCAGGTCGGCGAGCCCGCGTCGCCGTCCACGTCCAGATGGCGCACGGCGACCTTGGCCTCGTCGAGGCGCGACAGCTTGAGGCAGCCCGTGAAGTCGACGGACGCGAGCGTCGCGTCGCCGTCGACGGCGATGCGCTCGACGGCGTGGCCCCGGTGGTCCGCGATGACCTCGCGGGGCGCCGGCGGGCCGGACACGGCCCAGGCCGACGCCGTGCCGTCGTAGCAGGCCGTGAGGAGCCGCGCGCCGTCGCGCGCGAACGCGACCTGCCGCACCTCGCGGCTCG